AAATGCGTCCACTTCAGCCACTGAATAGTCTAGGCTTACACTGGAAGACGTTCCCTTCTGAAAAGACAGTGAGATGAACTGTAAACGAAATACTCGACTGTAAGCCCCGAAATAGTATCAGAAAGGTTTTTTGAGATTGGCACACCGCAGTGTTGGGCCGGTGTCAGTGATGTGGAACGTCTCGCAAGTTTGGCTTTGGCTTGAACAAGCTGTTGAGGACTTTGCCCCAAGTACCGAACTTGTTCTTCAATTCAACTGTTTCTATTCGGATTGTATATACTGCAAATCACTTCAAAATCGAGACAATGGTAGTGGTCCCGTTGTTAGTTGTGTCTGAATTCTTCACGTTCAGACTCGCGAGTTGCGTGCAGGTATAGAGAGTGTTGTGTGCGAGTGTTAAAATACCAATGGATGCCAATACCTATTTTTAAATTTTTTATGCGCCGATGCATATAATTTTGCCAGGAATTTAGGGTTTTAGAATTTAATGTTTTAGAGCGCTCGCCAACTGATCCTTCTCATAACAATGAAGACTCCGAATCCAATTCACATTCATAAGGCAACTACACTTAAACGCTTTAAACACACAAGAGTGGATCTGAGAACAAAACGTAAAAAATGTACACATCTCTTCAACGATTCGATTTGAATACTAACGCAGTGCCCGCCCACTCTCATCGTAAGGAACGAAAGACTCGCACCGCTGCAGGCTCGTAGAGATTGCCAATATATCTCAAATATAAACCCAGGTTCTGTTTAACTGTGGTAGCTGACAACTTCGAAGCCGTCGTTGTCTTCTATGTATTTACACATCTCTGCGAGTTTGGGTGCCGGAATCAGGGGTAGCGAACCAAAATCCGTGTCCAGTGATCGATGGCAGGTACACTCAATTGTTTGTCCTCAGCATGCTCAGGATCTGCTAGCATCAACCCCTGTAGTGTGGAAATACTTAGATGCTTGTATTTTACATACGAACTCATAGACCAGCATATTAAAGCTATGGATGTATATACAGACTTTTCAGGCATCCTGGGTGGGTATTGCGAGCTTTATGATTAAAAGTCCTATTTCCAACATACTCGGGATCTGCTGCGTAGCACCAGCACTGCAGTCCATAACTGCCCAGAATCTCTATACACGGCCCCGTGGACAAACACTAAACCGAAGTATGCATATACTTCATGCACACATCCAGCACTACCGTGTGAAACCGCCTATATTCTGTATAAGCTATCCCGTGGTGGTTTTAGCAGACACCCCCCAAAACCCTAAAACCCAACTAGATTATAAGAAAAGTGTGTATATATTTATCAGCCAATCATGGGCATTGTGAGCTTTATGATTACTAATCGTACAGGTACGTACACGAGTACCGTTCGTCCACGGCCCCTTGAAGGTTTACTGCGCCCTCGGCTGTACATAATCCCAGGCTCTCTCTGTATTGAATAGCGGACCGGATTCGAGTACAGGTATTCATTCACACACTGTGACGAGAGAGTGCATACGCCCAGAAATCGAACGCATGGAGGTTACTAATTGTACAGGCCAGTATGTATGAACCGGTGCTTTCATGGTCTGCTGATAACCTGTTGCACCTTCGGTTGGAACTCTGGGCTGACAGACGCCATGACTTGGGGGAAGGCTCCCGCTATCGTCTTCAGTATACGAATCACCCGCGGGTTGAGTGTTTCGTCTCCTTGTACCAGATCCTGTAGTGACATACAGTGAGCGCTTAGATTCAGAATCACACGTGTTGGTAAGGCTAGGAAGTACCATTATTGTGGCGTCGAGTTAAAGGCACCTTTATGCAGTCCGATGTGCAGCGAATATGCGTAAAGGATCGCATTCACATGCCTATGAAATAACTTCAACACTCGCATACTTGAGCGCTATATATATATATATGGCTATATATCTATATCTGCATACCTAATGTAAGTATCGAAATAGACATACACATAGATATACATAGATATATATATAGATATTATATTTATATATATACAACTATCCGGCATACTCACCGAATTTACTATCAGCGCCAGAATATTGACAATCCTGGGCATGTTGCTGTTGTTTTGCCCGAGTGCAAAGGTGTTATTCTCTTCCAGCAGATTGCACATGTAAGCGTAGATGTACTTGCTTTCCTCTTTGTCTTGCGTTACGGGCAGCCAAGATATGAACTCGGCGTTGATTTGATTAATGTCCGGTACGTTGTCTTTGTGCGCCATGCATACTTTGGCTGTAGTGGGTGTATAGTAATAGGGGGTATGAAGAGATTTATAGAAAGAACGAGGACGGGTGAGGTAATGCTTCTATCGCCCGATAAAAATACATACATACATACAAATATATATACATATACAAATATATATACCATGAATATGATTTTATGTTGTATACACATAGTATTCATCCATCGTAAACACATATTTGCATACCGATAGCTGATATCGCATTCTCCGTGCAGTGCACATTATCCGCACTCTTAGCCTCGGGCATATTTATAACCTTACATAACGGTGCAATGCTGGCTTGTATCATGGGGATGTATGCTGGGCCACCAAACTTCGCAATCACCCCCACCCCATACACAGCAGCGTGCCTTACATGCGTATTGGGATCCAAAAGACTCGCCGCGATGGATTCTAGGAAGAACTGTAAGCAAGTTTGTTGTAGTGTTAGTAGGAGATACGCGCTTGGGCGGGGATTGGAAACAGTCGGGGCTATGTGGGTTTGGAATGAGGATGAAGTCATGCTATCAAATGTGCAAAAATAGACAAATATATGATGAAAAATGTACGTATCTATGAATGTATGTATCAAGACACATATATGTACGTAAGTATGTATCAAGACACAAATGTACGTATATATGTAGGGATAAATTATCGAGGACCGTGGAAGAATTGATAGTATGACTGCAGAGGTACACGCCTGCATGTGGAGAATATACGCAGATACGGCAACCACATACCACAAACATGGGTATATCTTATGGCGCATCATTTACAATACATGCGGACCGAAACTCGCACATAGGCCCACAAACATCCATTCACAAGAAAAATGAAGCAACCTAACATACCTGTACATATCTAAACGATTTAGCACCATTCACAATACAGGCGGACAGACACTCGCACATAGGCCCACAAACATTCATTCACATGAGAAATCGAAGCAACTTAACATACCTGTACATATCTAAACGACTCAGCACCTCCAAACTCCACCAGATCGTCGAAGATACAGATTGCCCATTGCCTGTCTGACGCGGGTTTATTTGGGCCCAAAAACTGGGACAGGGTAGGGCACACCATATCCCACAGCGGCAGTAGATTGGTACGGTGTGTAGCAAATAGTGTATGCATGAGCTCAGATATGTCTCTGATCACAGCCTCATCGCCCGAGGCTTCTTCACTGACTCCTTCGGCGTACTATGAGAGAAGGTTAAAAAAAATAAAATGGGGTTGTTAGGGTTTTTCTTAGATTGTGTACAAACATAGACACCTTTCCACGTTGGTGCGGCACAAAGTATTTTGAATCCCAATTTCATTCGCAAATCATTGGGTGTTATTGGTCGTTGTGTATCACTTACAAGTGCATACATTCGAGCTGATACATTTGGTGAATGTTTGGTGTAAAGTTATAACGTGATAAAGATATCCAGTTATAGTGTCGCTTGTACCAAGCTTTACACAAGTCACCTATAAGTTTATGTAGGGGTGAGGTATAGTTAGTTCTAAAACAAAATAAATTCCGGAATAGTGGAGGCGATATAAACGAGTGTGGGATTTCGATACCGAATCAACAAACCACTGACAGGGTCACACAACTAGCGGTCCTAATTTGGTGTAGTTTGATGGCCGAGACAGAACTGTCACAAGAGTGTGAGTAGAGTGATAATCTGTCGAGACTGTTGTCTGTGTGGTTGCACACTAGCACACACAAAATCAAACCGTTGTTTGTTTAAAACTAGTGAACTGGCATATGCCGTGGGTGTCCATAGGCCTATATACAGTCGGTGTCACGATGTGTTGTTTGCGTTCATCAGGAAAGTAGCGAGAAACACTTTACCAGAATATATAAATATATTTGTATGTATATATATATATAAATATATAAATATGTATGTATGTATTTAAATATATATATATATATATGTATGTATGTATGTATGTATGTATATATGTATGTATTGTATGTATGTATATATATAAATAAATATATGTATACCTCCTCATCGTAGTCCTGATCCGTCTCTGAGATCTGTCTATTCTGCGCGCGCTCTAATAGCTGTGCCAGTTGCGAGTTAAGAGCCAATCCTAATAAATTCATATCCTCAGCATCCAAGCTATTATCGCCCACAACCTTCAGAGCCTTATCAAGCGCTCCCACAAACTCGTACACAACGTCCGTGTCTACTTCAGACTCAAGCGCGGGGCAGATGACACTGAGCATGTATCTGTGATGAACGTTCACACACACGCAGACGGATGGATGGGCGGAAGTGAAGAAACGCGTTAGAACAGACAATGAAAAACAAGCTGTACTGAAAGGGCGACGGGTATGCGAATAAGACCAACGAGTTGAACACGTATGTGACAATACATTAGGCATACGATCTACAATTCAGCGATTATGCACACACAAACACAACTACACACATGTCTGCACGCGCACAACCGAGTTTTGAATCAAATACAAAAGCAAATCTAAAAATAGCATATACGTAGCTGCGTCTACGTATACTTGGTGTAGCCGGGTTGGTGGTGGGGTAGACTACCCGCTGCGACATACACCAGCAAGGTTAAGAGGGCCTGTGCTGCCGACAAACGCACTCTACTATGAAACATCTACATACACGATCCTAAACACAGTTGCCACTACACCCATTATCACGAACACGAACATTGTCCTGCCATTTTACCAATTAGACACCACAGCCATAACAATCACGTACTTCTACATATAGCCATATACCAAGCGCATACTGTCACATTTAACCATATACCAATCACTCACTTCCAAATATAACCACAGACTAATCACTGCCTTCCACATTTAACCATAGACCTATCACTGCTTTCAAAATTTAACCTTAGACCAATCACCTGCTTCCACATTTAACACAAACCAATCACTTACTTCCCCATTAAACACATAAACCAATCACTTCCTTCCACATACAACCCACATTTCACCATAGACCGATCACTTACTTCCACATTTCCTTGATGTGTGCGGGGGGGAACCTACCCTCTACAGCACACACCAGCAAGGCGGGCAGCGCTTGGGCGGCTGATATACGCACGCCATCGTGGAACAAGAACTTGAGAGACTGTACCATGATCTTGGTGACTTCGGGTAGATAATCCACAAAGCCGCTCTTTAACTCGGCCGCGTACGTAATGATGAGCTCCAGCGCGTTGAATTTCTCCTCTAAGGTTGAGGTTTGTATACCGATCTTTGGGTTTGAAGTGAGGGGTGGAAATGCCTTTGAGCTGGTGCGGTGGATGCATATCAGGTATCATGGGTGTGCGAAAGGAAGCAACATAGGTACATAGAACGTGAGACCTGATACATCCTACTGCGTACTGAGTGGATTAGACTACAGTTTGTACTTCGATGTAGACGGACCTATTGGTGCGTGGGCATAGATTTCACACACCGATAAAGCTCAATAGGTTTAAACCAAACCAAGAACATAATATAAACTGCGAAGACCCAAAGTGGCATACTCTCATCCGTCGGTTGTGTGTAGATCTATGTTCGATGTTGATACAACACATCACAACAAGAATAGAAATATGCATGTAGGTATACAATCCTTCATTTGCCTCCTACGTTTCTTGCATAGAAATACTACAAAACATATACATAAGAAAATTTTATATGGATCACAGGTCCAAACCAACTTTGAACCTAAATTGTCAAACTCTTAAACCTCCTTGATATCATACACATTTACCTACACCCACCTATACAATGCAGGTCCCTGTATACGGATACATACATACACGCACACTATATGATTCTACAACAGCACAAGAACATACGCATATACCAGATTGCCTTACCTTTTGGGAATCCCAGCTGACAAACTCCCATCCGTCGGCTGGGTCGTATTTGGCCTCGTCTTTTGGATCATCCGGATCTACCAGAGCCACGTCTGGTGTCAACTGCGCGTTCTTTAACAACAACGGCATCACACTCGGCAGGTATGGGATGAATTCCGGTCCCAAGATTTTACAGATCCGGGCCCACGCGGACATGAAAAACTGTATTTTTTGAAACGGGTCGCAAACCAACCAACCAACCCCCAAAGAAAAAGAGGGGGAGAAATATTTGTGTGAATGTGGTATTCCGAGTTGGCGTGATAAAATACAAGGCCTAAAACAGCCACCCATTCCCCCGTACCGCATCACACACCTGTATCTGAGGATCGTCGGCTTCCATCTGTTCCGCGGGTGTGCGCATCATAATGTTCATCACTCGCCCGGCGTCCGCCTTAAACTTCTCTGCCCCTACAGCGATACCAATCAGCGTCACACACTCAATCGACTTCCCTCGCAAGGTCCGGTGCGCCGGTTGGTCGGCTGTGTCCAACACATTGATCAGCAACGGCATAAAGGTGTCGTAGTATTTGACAAACATGTGTTCCGAACTGTCGGCCAGGGTGGCGATGGTGGTGATGGCCTGTTCTTGCACGATGCGCTTGTCGCTGCTCAGCAGGTTGTACAGGCTTGTGAAGAGTTCGTCCAGGTACGGCTGTAGCACGGCGGAGTCTGCTTGTTCACTGTGTGTGGAAGACAAGGTGTTAGTACAGTGGTGTGATCAAACTATATACATGGATATGGACAGTCATGGATGTACGTATATATGGTGTGCTATGGATCGATCAATCCATATATGGATATGGATAGATATCGTATGTATGTTCTTAACGATCATAGAGTCCGTCAAATCATACATAGATATGGACAAATATCGTATACGAGGCATAGGCATCCATGTATGTGCTTAAGGATCATATATGTGTTTAAGGATCATAGATGTATATATATATATATGTGTGATTGGTATGCTGTATAGTAGCAGGACTTACTAGCTCGTTAGTTGCCCGTAGAGTTACGGTTGTAGAATGGCGAGTTCTGTTGTTCACTTTTATTGTGTGAAGATGCCAACTCGCTAGAACAACGGTGTGACCAGCGAAACATAATGCAAGTCCACACCTTTATACACATACATACATACATATATATACAGATATATATATATATAATTGTGTGTGTGTATGTATACATGAAGATATATACATACATATATATATATATATAAATATATTTAATTATATATATATGTGTGTGTGTGCGTGTAGGCGTATACGTAATCAAATAACAGTCTCACCTAAAATTGACAAGGGCTGCTGCGGCATGCGCCTGCACCCTGAAGTTGCTGTCGTGCATACCCACCACCAGTGCCGGGATTACTACACTATGAAATTGAACCTGGAACTCGGGTGCAAAATCTGTGGACATTTGACCTAAGGCATTGCAGGTGCCGTGTCTTACGCGCTCGTGCGGGTCTTTGATATAGGCTGCTACCATGGCAACGATCTTCTCGAGTTCGGGTTTCATTAGCTTGACACAACCCTGTGCGAGAGAGAGAGGTATGAGATTGAACATTGGAAGAGACACGGCATGAACGACTAGAATGCAACGTCATCTATACATGAAGAAGTAAGCCCATTATAAAGGTCCTGAATACATCCAGACTTACAAGTAGATTGGTATACACCACACGGATATATGAGACACACACACCTCGGCTATCGAAGCGATGGGGAAGAGGAGAGTATGCCCAATATAAACATAATCTATATACATACAGACATACATGTAGTAGTGGTTGACACTACCAGTGGTAGACATTACACAGACAAATGAGAGATTGTTCCACTACACACACCTCAGCTACCGAAGAGATGGTGAGGAGGGGTGTATGCCCAATATAAAAATGATATATACACATACAGACATACATGTAGTAGTGGTTGACACTACACAGACAAATGAGAGATTGTTCAACTACTCAGCTATCGCAGAGATGGTGAATAGGAGAGTATGCCTAATAAAAAAAAAGATATATATATATATACAGACATACATGTAGTAGTGGTTGACACTGCACAGATATATGAGAGATTCGTTCC